CTGGCACTATTTAGACAAAATAACTATATTGGCCAGGCATGGTGGCTCACACCTGTAATCCCAGCACTTTGGGAGGCTGAGGTGGGTGGATCACGAGGTCAAGAGATTGAGACCATCCTGGCCACCGTGGTGAAACCCTGTCTCTACTAAAAATACAAAAATTAGCTGGGCACGGTGATTCGTGCCTGTAGTCCCAGCTACTCGGGAGGCTGAGGCGGGAGAATTGCTTGAACCCAGGAGGTGGAGGTTGCAGTGAGCCAAGATCACGCCGTTGCACTCCAGCCTGGTGACAGAGTGAGACTCCATCTTAAAACAAAAACAAACAAAGAAACAAACAAAAGGTATATCATACTCTGAGCCTATATTTCATTCCTGGGTATGTATCACCAAGAAATTCTCACCGTGGTCTGAGAGAGAACATTTCCACCCTTCCTTTGTTTGTGGTGGCAGGGTGTTGGTAGTACCAGGGTGCCCTTCCCTGGGAGAGAGGGAAAGTTAGTGTGGGGGGTGCACTCAGAGTGTTCTGCAGCAGTTGGAAGCAGTGACCACAGGAACGTGGACAGATGTTGAAACACTAGGTGGAGAAAAAGAAGAAACAAAAAATCAGATATATAACCACTTTTTATATGAATTATAAACTACAAGTTCACAAAAGAAGACATATTTTATAAGATATTTATATAAAAATATTTGTTGGATGCATTGGAATGATTGCAGTCAGGGATGGGAATGGGATATGGGGGTAAAAGGAAATAAATAGAAATAAGTAGCTACATAAGTAAAATGAGGAAAACAAGAGTACCAATCCCATAGATTTGCCTGGAGAGTTCGATGAGATCCCGTAAGTAACAACTGGGATGGTGCCTTGTGCCTACAAAGTAAGGTGGGCTTGGCCAAGGCTGGGGGCGTGTATACGTAGAGCCTTTGCTGATCCTTTCCGTTCTCCTCTGTCCCAGGTCTTGTTTGCCACAGAGACCTTTGCCATGGGAGTAAACATGCCGGCTCGTACAGTAGTGTTTGACTCCATGCGCAAGCACGATGGCTCCACCTTCCGGGACCTGCTCCCTGGGGAGTATGTGCAGATGGCAGGTCGGGCAGGGCGGAGGGGCCTGGACCCCACAGGCACCGTTATCCTGCTCTGCAAGGGCCGAGTGCCCGAGATGGCAGACCTGCACCGCATGATGATGGTGAGTGACCCAGCATCCTGGGCAGGGCCCCAGCTCCAGGACCTTGCTGGATTCTTCCATTCTCCTCTCTTCTGACTTGTTCTTTTTCTTCTTCTTTTTTTTTTTTGGAGGCAGGGTCACCTAGGCTGTAGTGCAGTGGCACAGTCTTGGATCACTGCAACCTCTGCCTCCCAGGCTCAAGTGATCCTCCCATCTCAGCCTCCCAAGTAGCTGGGATTCCAGGCACATGCACCATGCCTGGCTAACTTTTTTTTTTTCTATTTTTTGTAGAGATGAGGTTTTGCTATGTTGCCCAGGTTGGTCTTGAACTCCTGGGCTCAAGCAATCTGTCTGCCTCAGCTTCCCAAAGTGCTGGGACTGTAGGTGTGAGCCACAGTGCTCAGCTTCCTCTGACTTTTTTGTTTTGCCTGGGAGAAGCCGAGGTAGGAGTGAGCGAATCCAAGGATGATTGAAGCCTATCTCTTCCAGTTTTCTCCCCCATGAATACGGAGCTAGATGGGGCCTTTGAGTCTATTTATTTCAGTTTGCTCCCTTATGTTACAGAAGAGGTGAGCAAGTGGTTTGTCAAAGGCCCCATGGTTGCAGAGCTGGGACCAGGTCTGATGGGAGTAGGCCCAGTCCAGAAGACTGGCTGGGGTGCAGTAGGTCCCACCCTGATCTCACTGACTTCTCTGATCTGATTCCAGGGGAAGCCATCCCAGCTGCAGTCCCAGTTCCGCCTCACGTACACTATGATCCTCAACTTGCTGCGGGTAGATGCCCTCAGGGTGGAGGACATGATGAAGAGGAGCTTCTCTGAGTTTCCCTCCCGCAAGGACAGCAAGGTAAGGAGCCTGGGTAACCAGTATGTGGAGCAGGAGGTTGGACAAAGCCAGGCTGGGAATAGGTAGGCATCCAGAGGCCAGTGTGTTGAGGGTCGGGGGTGTGGCAGACTGGGCCTGGAGACTCCCCTTTCACAGCTTCCCCCTGCTTCCACCCAAGGCCCATGAACAAGCCCTGGCCGAACTGACCAAGAGGCTGGGGGCTTTGGAGGAGCCTGACATGACTGGCCAACTGGTCGACCTGCCTGAATATTACGGCTGGGGGGAGGAACTGACAGAGACCCAGCACATGATTCAGGTGAGCAAGTGTGAGTGCTGAGGGGGTGACAGGAGAAGGGAGGAGGAGATCGTGTCACTCTAGGTGCTATTAAACTTAGTCCAAGTGTCTGTCCCTGTGATGCCTCCTCCCATCTGTGCTTTGTGTGCGTCCCTGCTCTTCAGCGACGCATCATGGAGTCTGTGAACGGGTTGAAGTCTCTCTCAGCAGGAAGGGTGGTGGTTGTGAAGAATCAGGAGCATCACAACGCACTGGGAGTGATCCTACAGGTGAGGGTGATGGGAATTTGCACTCCAGAGGGTGGGAGGGAGCAAGTCCTCTCTCCATTTTCCCCACTTGGCCAGGGCAGGTTGCATCACCACAGGGTCCTCATTTTCCCCTCTTGCCCTCCTTTTCACCCTCTCCCTTCCCATCACCACATCATGCTCACTCCTTCCTCCCACCACCCCAAGAAGTCTGCTCTGATCGCTTGACTTGGTCGCCCCTCTCTACTGGTGAGCTCTGCATGGTTGCTTCCTGATTCCTGCCCAAGGGTAGGTATCTGGTCCCTACCTTTGATGTCTACTCCTCACACCCCGCTCTCCTGGCCTCTCTGACCACCCCCAGGTCTCCTCGAACTCCACCAGCAGAGTATTCACAACCCTGGTCTTGTGTGATAAGCCCTTGTCCCAGGACCCACAGGACAGGGGGCCGGCCACTCCAGAGGTGCCCTATCCAGATGACCTCGTGGGATTCAAGCTGTTCCTGCCTGAAGGTGAGAGTGCGGCAGATGCCTGTTTTCTGCCAGCAGTATGAGCAGGATGCCTGGGTCCACGGCAAGGTCTGCCCTGCTCTAACTTTTTCACAGGGCCTTGTGAGCACACCGTAGTCAAGCTCCAGCCAGGAGATATGGCTGCCATCACTACCAAAGTGCTCCGGGTGAATGGGGAGAAGATCTTGGAGGACTTCAGCAAGAGGCAGCAGCCAAAATTCAAGTCAGAGATGCTAGGGAGGCCCTTTTCCTCCAGAGGGGCATGTAGAAGCGGGCAGGGGCAGTGGTCTGGGAGTTTTCCCCAGCCTGAGGGAGACTATGAAGTGGTGGAGTTGTAGTGAGGGGGCTCCTCCAGCCTAAGGGAGACTGTGAAGTGGGGGTTGTAGTAAGAGGGCTCCCACAGCCTGAGGGGGGCTTCTGTGGGAGAGAAGATCTCACCCCAGATCTTAAGATCTCCTCCCTCTTCAGGAAGGATCCTCCCCTTGCAGCCGTGACCACTGCTGTCCAGGAACTACTGCGTCTGGCTCAGGCTCACCCAGCCGGACCCCCCGCCCTCGACCCTGTCAATGACCTGCAGCTCAAAGACATGTCAGTTGTAGAGGGTGGGCTCCGGGCCCGGAAGCTGGAGGAGCTGATCCGGGGGGCTCAGTGTGTACACAGCCCCCGTTTTCCTGCCCAGGTAGGACCCTGGGTGCTAACTCCCGAGCTGGGAGTAGGGGCTTTTCCTCTGTGGTTCCCTGTAGACCGACCACCCCCATCTCAGCCCTTGTCTTCAGTCCACCCCTGCTAAGGGGCAAGGAGAAGGCTGACGGGTGGCTCTCTGCAGTACCTGAAGCTGCGGGAGCGAATGCAGATACAGAAGGAGATGGAGCGGCTGCGCTTCCTACTGTCAGATCAGTCGCTGCTGCTGCTTCCTGAGTACCACCAGCGAGTAGAGGTGGGCGGGGCAGTGGTTGGGGCGGGGGGCTAGGGGATAGCAGGGTGTCCAATGCCCACTCTTTTTCTTACAGGTGCTCCGAACCCTGGGTTACGTGGACGAGGCAGGCACTGTGAAGCTGGCAGGGCGGGTGGCTTGTGCCATGAGCAGCCATGAGTTGCTCCTCACTGAGCTCATGTTTGACAATGCACTAAGCACCCTGCGGCCTGAGGAGATTGCTGCCTTGCTCTCTGGCCTGGTCTGCCAGAGCCCTGGGGACACTGGAGATCAGCTCCCAAACACCCTCAAGCAGGTAGGGGATATCACTCCTTTCTCCCTGCCAGGGCTGTGGCATTCCTGACCTCCACCCTCAGGTAGTCCCCCAGGTGACCCCCTGCTGCCCTGTAAGTGCCCCGAGGATGGGAATGGCTGCCTTCTTGATCTAGTCCTTCCCTCTCCTGGAGCAGGAAGGCAGGCCTTAATCTCTCCTTCTTCCCTGCAGGGAATAGAACGTGTTCGGGCTGTGGCCAAGCGGATTGGTGAGGTCCAGGTGGCTTGTGGCCTGAACCAGACGGTGGAGGAATTTGTGGGCGAGCTGAATTTTGGGCTGGTCGAGGTTGTGTATGAGTGGGCCCGGGGCATGGTGAGTACCTGAGGTTTGGGATTTTGCAGACGGCTGGCTGAGGGTGAGCCTGCCCAGGGTGAGCCTACCCAGGGTGAGCACATCCAGTTCTCACCCTACTTTCCCCACAGCCCTTCTCCGAGTTGGCAGGGCTCTCAGGGACCCCTGAGGGCCTGGTGGTCCGCTGCATTCAGCGCCTGGCTGAGATGTGTCGCTCACTGCGGGGGGCAGCCCGCCTAGTAGGAGAGCCTGTGCTGGGCGCCAAGATGGAGACAGCGGCTACCTTGCTACGGCGGGACATCGTATTTGCGGCCAGCCTCTACACCCAGTGAATGCCCCATGTAAAAATGTGATGATAAAACAGCAAACCACTGTGTGTGCTTGAGTTGTTGGGCAGGGATGACTCAGCTAAGAAGATAGCAGAACCTCTTAGAAATACGCTTTTATTATCTGTACACAGAGATATGACTGCCCCCCTCTAAACATCACTATTTGGGGGAGGGAGTCTTGGGGGGTGATGGGAAGTCCTGAGTCATGGCTTCCACGTACCATATAGGCAGGAAGGCATAGGGTGCATCTCGGTGTACAGACACGGTGACTGGGCCGCCAGGCTCCCAAGAGAAGAGGTGAACAAGCCTGCGAGGCAGATGGAGGAATCAGCTGAGGACCAGAGGCTGGATCCTGGGATCCAGAGAGGATGGACAGAGCCAAATGCCTCACCTGGGGTCATCCTGGACAACCGTGCTCTGGGCAAAGCTAAGGAAGGCGGCACAGAAGTTCATGCACACAGAGGGATTCCAGCCGTCACGGTCATTCTGGAGCAGGCAGAAGAGGCAGAAGATTGGCAGTGGGGGTGGTGGGATGAGGGGAAGGCAGGCTGCTGCCCTGGACGCTAGACCTGTGGTCTTGGTGTTTGGGGATGCGGGTGGGAGCTGCAGCATCATTCCCTTACCCTGACATAGTCAAACATCTTCATGGTAGGAAAGGTCTTGAGGGAAGAGACAAAACCCTCTGGGTTACGGAAGCCAGCAACAACATTGGGGACACCTGGGAGGAATGACTGAGCCCACCATTTCAAGAGCTTGTGTCTGTCAGGAAAAGCAAGGGGTCAGTGGGACCCCTCGTCCACCCTCCATTCTGCCTTCACCCTCCTCCCCAAGTCCCTTTCCCAGCCTTCAAGTCTAAGCTCTTGCCCTGCCCACCCCTGTCCTGAACCTGTAGAAGCTCCTCCATTGGCCAGGGCTGTGCATCTCCTTGGAGGTCTTGAGCTCCACATAGCAGGTGGGGGGCTGTGTGGATGGGGTCTGGGGGTCTGTGCAGTCTACCTCCCCTGAGAAGAGCAGAGGGTGGCTTCCCAGGCGGCTGCGTAGCACAGAGCAGAAGGCCACGTTGGTGTTAACCTCCCCAGAGGGGTCTGGGGAGCTTCCAGGTTTGTCTGCACAAGGAGAGAAGCAGCAGCAGGGGTGGGGGGCTCTCAATCTCTGGGAAGGGGAAGGGGGCTATGAAGCAGGGGCAACTCACCTGCACACATATACTGCTCAAATTTGTATCCCATGTACATAAGCTCCCGGAGGAGCGGTGGCCGAGCAAGCCTCTGGGCCCGGGCTTTCGGCGTCTCCACCTCACTCAGGTATAGTGTTCCCTGGAACCGAGAGGCTGCCAGCTGCCAACCCTCCTGCCGCTCATACGGTGTCGTCAGCAATTTTGTCAGGTGCCCCCGCCATGTCACTATGGCCTCTGCCAGCCAGCCTGGACCCCTGAGAGGCAGGAGTTACAGGCTGAAGGTCTGACACAAGCATTAGTGAGATGCTCCCCTCGAAGAATAGTCTGTTTCTTCTAAGGACTGATTCTCACCCCGGCTGTGGCTCTCCTAATTTTAGAGGGTAGTACGGGTCTCCAGATATACTGCCTGCCACGCTTTGCTCACCCCTCCAACCGGCCTCGGTGTTCCAGGAGCCAGCACAGCAGGTGGTCCAGCCTTTCTTGGACCTCCTCGTCCCGGGGCTGGTATCGATCCGGGTATCCGTCTCTGAGGTCAAAGTTGGGGCCTGGACCGTTAGTGGGGGGTGGGCTATAGTAGCGCAGGGCTCGGGCATCTCCATGGTACTGGCGTTGAGCATCCAGGGAGAAGCAGCCCAGTTCCGAAGGGCGCCGGTAGAAAGGAAAGGGCCCAGAGTAGAAGGCAGGGTCTGTGGGCAGAGAAGGTGCTGGACGGGGTAGTTTGTTCCGAGGCTCGGCTACCTCTGTCTTCTCAGCTCCTCTCTTGGTCCCCCTGGGATCCATTGAGGTCCTAAGGGAAGCAGGCGGACAGAGTTTCCATTTTACAGAGGAGGCCTGGAGAAGGATGACTGGTTTAGGACTAAGCGAGCCACCTGATCGCCAGGTTCTGGCCTTGAAACATTCAGGCCCCTCAGACGCCACCGCGGCTAACCTCTCATCCTGCCTCTTTCCTTGCCCTTCACCCACCCTCCCTCCAGGTCCTCCAAATGCAGTGAGGTTAGGAAGGACGCCTGCGCTCAGATCAAGAATCCAGTTACCTCAAAGCTCCCCAACTTCCACCTCCGCAGGGCTATGACGTCATGGCAGGCACACCAGAGGCCGAAGGATGCAAAAGTGGTTTTTCTGCTTTCGATGATGCAGTCATTCAGCGACAGTGGCGGGCAAACCCCTCCCGGGGCCGGGGAGGTGTGAGCTTTACGAAGGAGGCTGATCCCAACGTGGCCACCGGCGCCCCTCCACGCCGCCCACGAGTCCCCAGGCGTGCGTGCCCTTGGAGGGAGCCAATCCGCGGTCGGCGTGAGGCCCGGCGCGGCGGACGTGGTGCGGGTATCTGCGTCGCCACCGCCCCTCCCAACACTGACTGGCCTGAGGGATGACAAGTTGACGCCCTTTTCGTCATCACCTGGTCTAGGAGGGACGCCCGGGGAGACCGTACGTCACTGTTCTGCGCCGGAAGACCCTATTTTCAGGTTCTCTTCCCTCCATTCCTACCTCTTCCCCGGTACCATAAAATCCCGGGATATGAGCCGAAAGAGGCATCACCTGGTCCCGGAGACCTTTGGAGTTAAGAGGTGGCGGAAGCGAGGGCTTGTGGAGTCGGATCCTCTTCGTGGCGAGCCAGGTAACCATGGCAACCCCGGGGCGGGGCTAAAGACCCCAGCTGGGTGGGGCCTCGCTTCCGGTAGCCGAGAGTTTTGTTGGAACCGCGTCCCCGCCCCAGTTCCCTGTCTCTGACCCGGTTTCTCGGTCCAGGGTCGGCGCGCGCGGCTGTCTCAGAGCTCATGCAGCTGTTCCCGCGAGGTCTGTTTGAGGACGCTCTGCCGCCCATCGTGCTGAGGAGCCAGGTGTACAGCCTCGTGCCTGACAGGACCGTGGCCGACCGGCAGCTGGTGAGGGGCATCGGTGCGACCGCCGGAGGCCCCTTTCCTGACTCCTAAAATTTCCTGTCCCTCAGTCACTCCGCCAGCTGTTCAGCAAGCATTAGGCCTTTCAGGGGAGGGCACTGTTCCGGGCACTGGGGTGCCACAGAGACCCTGTTAAATGGGCCACAGGCAGTACAGGGCATTTCAATCATGGAGGGAGAAGAACGAGGCTTTTGGGGAAACCGAGTCACGGGGCATGGTTCGAACATAGAGCACTGGGAGTGCAGACAGACGTCAGATCATGACAGGCCTTGTACATCAGTGTTGTTTCCATCTTACACTGAGGCGATGGGCTGGTAGAGAATGTCATAGAGAGAGGGAATGGTGTATTGGAAGTAGTGGATGAGGCAGGGAGGTCAGCCAAGAAGACACTGCATCTGAGAAGTGGTGAAGGCCTAAATTAGGTCAGTGCAGTACGGAGGGAGAGGAGAGTGAGAAAGGGAGGAGTCCAGGACAACTCACTTTCCGGATGACTGCGTGGCTGGTGATATTAGGAGCACATTTAGTTGTTGGACTACGGATAATGTGTTTAATTTTGTACAAGTTGAGTTGATGGTGCATGTGGAGCATCCAAAGACAAACGTATTAGACAAGTGGATATTAGAGTTGGAGAGAATTCTGGGCCAGTGATAATAGAATTACAAGTCATGGAGGTGTGAATAGCAAGTGGTTAATTCTGTGGATGTGGTGAGATCCAGTAGGAAGAGTGAGTAGAGGAGTGATTTCTAACCTTTTTATAATCTTTAGAAGGTGATAAAAGTTATGGCTATTTCTCTCCAGAAAAATGCACATATGCTACATATACATAGGATGTATGTACAGTTGGGGGGAAATACTTCACTAATCTTCTGAGGTCCATGGTTAAGGACTCCAAGTTTAGAGTGGAAGTTGATAGGGTCAAATCCACAATGCTGGGAAACACTGTCATTTAAGGCAGTGTTACTGAATGTATGAGCTGAGTTATGCCTGTGTCAAAATTACATGGGCTGTTTATTTTAAAAATACAGGTTCCTGGGACTCATCCAAGGTTAATGAGTTACAATCTCTTGGGGTGGGATTTGGGACTCTACACTTTTGAACTGCCTCAAGTCCTTTTTAAGTGTGCCTTAAAATTTGAGATCCACTGACATAAAGGGAAAGCAGAAGAAGAGGAATCTGTGGCAGAGGCAGAGAAGGAATTGCCTGAGTTAAGAGGAACCCCAAGGCCGGGGCAGTGGCTCACGCCTGTAATCCCAGCACTTTGGGAGGCCGAGGTGAGTGGATCTCTTGAGCTCATGAGTTTGAGACCAGCATGGGCAACATGACAAAACCCCATCTCTACAAAAAAATACAAAAATTAGCCAGGCGTGGTGGTACGCGCCTGGGGAGGCTGAGGTGGGAGGATTGCTTCATCTGGGGAGGTGAGCTGAGATAGCACCACTGCACCCTAGCCTGGGTGATAGAGCTAGACCTTGTAAAAAAAAAAAAAAAAAAGTAACCCAGGAAGAGGCCTATTGTAAAAGTAAAGAGATTTTTGAGAAAGTGAAGTAGTTGGCAGTATTAGAACCTGTGATTCAAGACAGTGGTCTAAGAAGAGGGAAGAGGTAAAGTAAAATATAAACTGAAATCTAGGCTGAGTGTGGTGGCTCATGCCTGTAATCCCACCACTTTGGGAATCTGAGGCAGGAGTATAGCTTGAAACCAAAAGTTTGAGACCAGCCTGGGCAACAAAGTGAGACCCCGTCTTTACTAAATAACTGAGACCCCATCTCTACTAAATAAATAAAATAAATTGAAACACAAAAATTCTTAGCTGGGCATGGTGGTATGCACCTGTTGTTCTAGCTGTTTAGAAAGTTGAGGCAGAAGGATTGCTTGAGCCCAAGAATTTGAGGCTGCAGTGAGCTATGATTGCACGACTGCACTTTAGCCTGGGTGACAGAGTGAGACCCTGTCTCTAAAAAAAAATGAAAACACAACAAAAAAAACCCAGAACTGAAATCTGTTCATTGGATTTAGCAAGTAGAAGGTTAATAGTGATCTTTCAAGAAAAGAGGGAAGAAAAGGAAGGCAGTCTGGCTGTCCCTTGAGGTGAGCTAGTCTCCCTCACTACGTCTCCTGTGAGGAAGCATGCCAGATGGAACCACTCCTTAAGAAGCATTTGTTGTTTTTAATATATTGGTGTTAGCTTTTATTTTTAAAAACCTTTAAAAGTTGCCGAATGAAAATATAAACATATATAATTTAAATGATGTTTATAAAGCAGATACCCATCTAGCTACTCCCTAGGTCAAACTATAGAACATGGCCAGTATCCCACATATATTCCTCTCTGATCAAAATGTCTCTGATCAGAGTGTCCCTGGGAGGTGACTGCTATGGTCATTGTTCCCTTGGTTTTCCTTTTTTTTTTTTTGAGGTGGAGTCTCATTCTGTTGCCCAGGCTGAAGTGCAGTGGCACGATCTCAACTCACTGCAACCTCTGCCTTCCGGGTTCAAGCAATTCTCCTGCCTCACCCTCCTGAGTAGCTGGGACTACAGGCACATGCCACCACACCCAGCTAATTTTGGTATTTTTAGTAGAGACAGGGTTTCATCATGATGGCCATGATGGTCTCGATCTCCTGACCTCTTGATCCGCCCCCCTTGGCCACCCAAAGTGCTGGGATTACAGGCATAAGCCACTGCGCCCGGCCACATTTTGTATTTTTAATAGGTATGAGATTTCACCACGTTGGCCAGGCTGGTCTCAAACTCCTGACCTCAAATGATCCACCTGCCTCGGCCTCCCAAAGTGCCATTTTTTTGTTTGTTTGTTTGTTTTGTTTTTTTTGTCTTTTTGATAAATCCACTATTACTTGTCTTTTGGGGTTTGTTTTTATTGTCTCTTTGAGTTTTGTTTCCTTATGCACCCAGTTACTTTTGAAAATGTTCCGGGCAGATTTGCCTAGATTAATAAATGCACTCCATGTTCCAATTACTTTTTTTTTTGAGACAGTGTCTCACCCTGTCACCCAAGCTGGAGTGCAGTGGCATGATCTTGGCTCACTGCAACCTCTGCCTCCTGAGTGCAAGTGATTCTCCTGCCTCAGCCTCCCAAGTAGCTGGCGTTACAGGCACCTGACACCACACCCAGCTAATTTTTGTATTTTTAATGGAGACTGGGTTTCATCATGTTGGCCAGGCTGGTCTTGAACTTCTGACCTCAAGTGATCACCCTTAGCCTCCCAAAGTGCTGGGATGACAGGCATGAGCTACCGTGCCTGGCCCCAGTTATTTTTATTTTTATTTTTTGAGATGGAGTCTCATTCTGTCATCCAGGCTGGAGTGCAGTGGCATGATCTTGGCTCACAGCAACTTTCTGGGTTCAAGCAATTCTCCTGTCTCAGCCTCCCAAAGTGCTGGGGTTACAGGTGTGAGCCATCTCACCCGGCCTACTTAGATGTTATATTAGTGGTAATTCCTGTTATCTTGTGAACTCTTTAGTGTCTAAACAATTTTTTTTAAGAGACGGAGTCTCACTGTGTTGCCCAGTTGCAATCCTAGCTTACTGCAGCCTCAAACTCCTGGGTCAGGTGATCCTCTTGCCTCAATCTACCAAGTAGCTAGGACTACAGGTCTCTGCCACCACGCCTGGCTAAGTTTTTACATTTTTTGTAGAGATGGGGGTCTCACTGTGTTGCCCAAACTGGTCTCAAACTCCTGTGCTCAATTGATCCTGCTACCTCAGCCTCCCAAAATGCTGGATTACAGGCATGAGCCACTGTACCTGGTCTTAAACAATTTTTAAATAACATTTTATCCAGCATTTTAGTTAATTTTCAACAGGTGTATTAGTTCTTGCTGTATTCTCATAAACAGAAGTCCTGGTTCATTTTTATTTGTTTTAAACATTGAATCCCATACTCTTCCCCACCTTACCCCACCCAGAATTTTCCTGTTAATGTTTTGAAGCCAGAGCCTGCATCTTAATCATTATTTTATCTTAGTGCCTGGTCTTAGAAAATTATATTGACTGTTTGACAGACCATAGATAAGGCAGGTGGATGAGATAGTGGGTAGCTAGTTGGAAAAGGCTGCTTGGTCATTTACCTGATTATCTTCTCACACAGTTTTTTCTTTACTAAGAGAAATTTGCCCCAATATTGACAGAATCTCCCTGCCTGAGAGTGCCCAGAGTATAGCAGAGCATCTTACCCTGATACCCCTCTTTTCACTCTCTTCTCTGTGGAGACAGAAGGAGCTTCAAGAGCAGGGGGAGATCAGAATCGTCCAGCTGGGCTTTGACTTGGATGCCCACGGAATTATCTTCACTGAGGACTACAGGACCAGAGTATGTGACTGTGTGTGTCAGGGGTGCCAGGGGCAGGGAACAGGTTGGGGGAGATAGGGAAGTTGGGAAACAGAAATAAAAACAAAAGAAAGAATTTCTCTGCCCCCACATCCCATGGAGAGGGCACAGGGCCCTGGTAAGTAGTAATATGAGGGAGAGAGACAGGAGGGAAAGAGGGAGGAGCGAGAGGGTGAAGAGTGGGGAGAGGAGGGAGAGGAGGAGGAGGAGGAGGAGGAAGGGTATGAGAGGTGGAAGGATCTGAGCAAGAGGTAAGACAGGAAGAGAAATGCTGTCCTAGGGGTGGAGAGGTTGGTGGAGAGTGAGGATGGGGACGGACCATGCTTCTCATCTCTGCTTCTAGGTCCTCAAGGCCTGTGATGGCCGACCGTATGCTGGGGCAGTGCAGAAATTTCTAGCTTCAGTACTTCCAGCCTGTGGGGACCTTAGTTTCCAGCAGGACCAAATGACACAGACCTTTGGCTTCAGGGACTCAGAAATCACGTGAGACTTGTGGAACCAACAAAGTCAGGCATCTGACGCCTCCCTGGCTCCCTCCAGTTCCATGCAGCCTGTCCTTTTGCTTTTTTGGTGAACCTGCCAGAAAAGCTGCCAAAAGGCTGACTCTTCTTTTTAATAAAATGACCCCAGTTTTTATTCCTCCCCACAAGAGAGGAGACCTATCTTACCTGGGGCCTTAGAAAGAGCCCTGGAATAGAATTCAGTCCTTGGTGGCTTATCAAAAGCATGCAGGGGCCTGGCAGGAACCGTAAAAGCTTGATGTTAATTATACTAGGACTAAGAGGATAGAGAATGATAGGAGTTGGGATACCCCTAAACATTCACATTAAAACAAAAAAACCCCAAAGCTAAAAAACAACTGGGCAGGCGCTAAAGAAAAATATAATTTTGAGAGGCTCTATCTGGCTCAGGCCTCCTACTTTGTAACGCATGGAATATGTGAAAGTATTTGAAGAGCTGTAGCACCGGTCTCACATGGGCAGACACACTCTCAGAGAGATGTGATGGGAGCCTTGGCGAGGTCTGCCTAGGTAGTGGCGGGAGCGCAGAAGACCCTGATTCCTCTCCTCAGTCCTGAGACTGAATGTGTGTCAGGACGTGTGGTCAGGGAAGAGAAACTATTTAAATGAATGAGTAATAGTAGCAGGAAAAGAGAGTGGAGGGAGGGCAGTCCACGTAGGGGTCCTGGAACAAGCAACTGCACCAACAGAGGCAGTTGGTGCAAGCACACAACCACCCCAGGTTGGGGTGTTGTTATCCACTTTCTCTTGCGTGGTTGCCCATGTTTCTCGAGACTTGTGTAAATATTAATGGATGAGGAGGAGAGGTTGTTCTCAGAGCCCAGACCTCATCTCTGCTGGCTTCCCATTGCCCTCAGGCATCTGGTGAACGCAGGAGTCCTCACCGTCCGAGATGCTGGAAGCTGGTGGCTAGCTGTGCCTGGAGCTGGGAGATTCATCAAGTACTTTGTTAAAGGTATCCCATCTGCAGCTCAGGCCTGCAGCTCAGGCCTACAGCCCCTCACCTTTTGGTGACTCCTCAGGCCTCTACGCCTTATTCACCTTTCCCTTCTCCTTTGCCACTTCTCCAGGGCGCCAGGCTGTCCTTGGCATGGTCCGGAAGTCCAAGTATCGGGAGCTGCTCCTATCAGAGCTCCTGGGCCGGCGGGCTCCTGCTGTTGTACGGCTTGGTCTCACCTACCATGTGCACGACCTCATTGGGGCCCAGCTAGTGGACTGGTGAGTCTTGCCCGGGCCTCTGGCAGGTGATGGAGCAATGACCCAAGGTCGGATTTCCTCCCAGCTCATGCTTAGTTCCCTAGTGAAGGCCAGTGGATCTCATTCTTCTCTGGAACCCGGAAACACCCCTTCCCAAGTTCTAAGCTCTCCTCACAACTTGAGCCTAGGCGTCTGGCTCCAGCCTTGTCTTTCTCCTGCACAGCATCTCTACCACTTCTGGAACCCTCCTCCGCCTGCCAGAGACATGAAGATTCTGCTCATCATTGCTCAGCTCCCCAGAGTGGGCCTGGAGGAGACTGGAATTGCTGCATGATGGTGGCTGAAACAGGGTCACCTTGGGAAGGCTTGGGAGCCAGGAAGAGTGTTGGGCTCTCGTGTATGCAAAGGGTCAGATGTGGCTGCTGCTGTTTGCCTGGGCTCTGACCCGGTGGTGGGGTTTGAGCAGTGCTTCTCTGCCCTTCCATGGAAAGTGGAACCAGAAATGCTGCCAAGGCTGTGGCTGTTCCCTTTCGTGTAAAATGGTACTGTTATCACTCTATCTTGAAATAGGAAGGTGGGATTTCTGGGGAGGCTGGTGAAGGAGGGCAGGGTTCTTTTCCCTACGTGTCATGTTAAAATTGCCAAATAAAGTACTTCTGCCTGTGGTATTTTCTGGATGTCCTTTATTTACTGAGATGTGTGCTTGGGTGCCTTGTTTAGGGGTAGAGGTGAAGTCTGAGCTTTGCCTCTTCAGAGAGGAAAGGGGTTAGAGGTTCACCAGACCACTCTCCCTGTGGAGTGGTACGGGTGTACGTCATCTCCTAAACCATGGAATTTCTGTTAGGGCCTGAAAAAGCAAAAGCCTAGTATTGTTCAATTTGTGTTGGAATGAAAGTAAGAGACAAGTGTCTTAGAAACCTGTCACTGTTTTGTGAGGGCCTTTAAATATCCTGCACTCGTGGGCCATGTTGGGCCTTTGTACGCCCATGTACACAGGAGCTTGTGTGCACCTATACCCTGGTACAGATATACCTGGTAGGGGGAGGTGCTGAGGCACTGGAATGAGGGGTTAACAGGGAAGGACAAGGTTATTTCTGGGCCAAGATTCAGAGATTCCCCTGGAGACCCAGGTGTCCGGGGCGCCCCCACAACACTGGGCCTGAGGCCAGTTGCATTTCTTGGCTGTCACGTGGTTTCCCAGCTTAGCTGGGCTGGGGGAGGAGCAAGGTCCAGAGTCAACTCTGCCCCAAGCCCTAGCTTGGCCAGAAGGTAGCAGACAGACAGACGGATCTAACCCCTCTTGCATCCTCCAGCCATGAGGCTCCTCTGGGGGCTGATCTGGGCATCCAGCTTCTTCACCTTGTCTCTGCAGAAGCCCAGGTCCTGGAGGCGGGATGCTGGGTGCTTGGATTGGGGCAGGGCTGGCAACAGGACCCCATTCAGGAGTGAGGGAGAGCAGGGTTGGAGGGTCAGAGCCAAGTCTGACTGCTGATCCTGTCTGTTCTCCCCAGGTTGCTCTTATTCTCTCCTTCTGTGGTTCATCTGGGGGTCCCCCTGTCGGTGGGGGTGCAGCTCCAGGATGTGCCCCGAGGACAGGTAGTGAAAGGATCAGTGTTCCTGCGAAACCCATCTCATAATAATGTCCCCTGCTCCCCAAAGGTGGACTTCACCCTTAGCTCAGACAGAGACTTCGCACTCCTCAGTCTCCAGGTAACTAGACCCCACGCCCTCCTGCTGCTTGTGGGGCTCCCGCCCTGTTCCCCTCTGTCCTGTAAGTGTCTTCATCTTCCCACCGGCCTCCTCCCCTCCTGTCTTCCCACCCCCGCATTCTCCTTCTATGTTTCTCCCTCTCTATGTTGTCCTTTTTGGCCAGCTCTCTCTTGCTCTGTGACCCGCTCTGTCTCCCTCTCCTGACAGGTGCCCTTGAAAGATGTGAAGAGCTGTGGCCTCCATCAACTCCTCAGACGCCCTGAGGTCCAGCTGGTGGCCCAGTCGCCATGGCTAAAGGACTCTCTGTCCAGAAAGATGAACATCCAGGGTGTCAACCTGCTCTTCTCCTCTCGCCGGGGGCACCTCTTTTTGCAGACGGACCAGCCCATTTACAACCCTGGCCAGCGGGGTGAGTCTCAGCCCCAGGGCCTCAACACTCAACCCCCTCCAAGCCCTGTCAGGATGAGTTTGGTGCCCCCTAAGTGAGATAACCTGAAAGAAAGTGCCACATGGGAGGGCTGCTTAGGAAATATTTGTCCCCCACTCCCTCTGTGGAGTTGGACCCACTCTCCCCTTGCACATGGATCCCTGCTCACCTCTCTCCCCCTCCTCTCCCAGTTCGGTACCGGGTCTTTGCTCTGGATCAAAAGATGCGCCCGAGCACTGACGCCATCACAGTCACGGTGGAGGTGAGTTCCCGACCTCTGGCCTTCCTGATCCTGGCCACTGATGCGACCTCCTGCCTGTGACCACTTCTCCCCTTGCAGAACTCTCATGGCCTCCGCGTGCGGAAGAAGGACGTGTACCTGCCCTCGTCCATCTTCCAGGATGACTTTGTGATCCCAGACATCTCAGAGTGAGCTCTCCCAATGTGGGGGCTGTCCCCAAGCTACACCACCCCAATTCCTGTTAGGCTCTCCACCTCCCACGCAGAGGCACGTCCCGGGATGCCCTGGCCCTCAGCCTCCTGAGCCTCTGGTTAACCCCCACAGTCCTCTGCCCAGGGAAGCAGGCCTCTGGCTCTCCGTGCCCCACTGCACAGATGGGCTGAGTCCCTTCCTTGTCCGTTCTCAGGCCAGGGACCTGGAAGATCTCAGCCCGATTCTCAGATGGCCTGGAATCCAACCGCAGCACCCAGTTTGAGGTGAAGAAATACGGTGAGAGCTGGAAACTGGAGGGACAGGCAACTGCTTTCCTGAAGGAAATAAGGGTGGGAGGAAACATAGTGGGTGCAGCTCAGGGCAGGGGGATATGGGTGCCACAGCCCTGGGTGGAGGGGAGTCTTTGAGCTAGAGTCTGACCTGCCTATCCCTTCACCCTGAGTCAGTCCTTCCCAACTTTGAGGTGAAGATCACCCCTGGAAAGCCCTACATCCTGACGGTGCCAGGCCATCTTGATGAAATCCAGTTAGACATCCAGGCCAGGTAATACCTCCCTCCACACCTCTGCCCGCCAGCACTGGGTCCTGCTCCCTACTCAGTATGAATGGGCTCCTGCTTCCCCGCCCTCAGGCCATTATTCCCCCCAGCCCTTGGCCCACCCTCTTCTCTCTGTCACGACAGGTACATCTATGGGAAGCCAGTGCAGGGGGTGGCGTATGTGCGCTTTGGGCTCCTAGATGAGGATGGTAAGAAGACTTTCCTTCGGGGGCTGGAGAGTCAGACCAAGGTAGGAAGGAGGATAGGGACTGGGGAGGGGAAGGGGCAAGGGAGGTGAGACTCAGTCACCATCATATGTCCTGTTTCTTTCTATGCCCCAGCTGGTGAATGGACAGAGCCACATTTCCCTCTCAAAGGCAGAGTTCCAGGATGCCCTGGGGAAGCTGAATATGGGCATGACTGACCTCCTGGGGCTACGCCTCTACGTTGCTGCAGCCATCATTGAGTCTCCAGGTGGGTGACTTTCCCTTATTGTAACCCCAGACCTCGCCTCTGACCTCTGAGCTAACCCTCTGTCCTCCAGCACCAACACCAACACCACGCCACTTCTCCCACCTTGTCTCAGACTCAAAACCAGGAAACACCCAGGAGACCTGGTCTCTCTCCAACCCTGTCTCTGTGACTCGGCCCTTTTCCCTGGCTCAGTTTATTTATTTATTTGCTTGTTCTGCTATTCATTCACTCCTCCAGTGGACATGTGTTGTTCAATGTCCTGTGCTGGGCCTCAGCATGCACAGACACGTTGGGGACGAGCCTCAACACCGCCCGTAGAGTACCTGAAGTCTGGTGGTGACAAAGGAATGAGAAGATAACAGGTTAAGAGTTCACAAAGAGTGGGGGCCAGGGGGCCAGTTGCAAAATGGAGGCTGCAAAAGGCCCAGAGCTCTGGTCTCCACACTATTTATTGAGTACAATCACTTAGATCTAAGAAGCAGATGTTCAGGGCGAAACAGTGAAAGGGTAGCAGTGCATCATAGGCGTAATGTATAGCAATAGAGGTGTAAATGAATCTCTTTTGTGCTCAAACAGCATGTCTTTAACCTATCGGAGAGTAGCTAGTGGATGTGGGCTTAACTAGGAGCCTGCACATCTGTCCACATTCCAATGCTTCAAAGGAGGGTCTTTCTCCTTGAACACAGTGTTTACAGATAAGAGAGCGCGTCTCACTCAGAGCATGGGAACATGATGGCAATTAGGAGACTTTTCTCCTCAGAGGCCTCTTGTGGCTTTCCACAACTTATTGTCCTATATTTTTATGGCCAGTTTATACAGGCACCCCACAAGTCCTTTTCCCAACATGCACCCCCCCTTTTTTTTTTAAACCACTATTGCTGTTATGGCCTATTTGTGGTGTTTGGTCTGTTTTCAGAAGCGTCTTTTGCATCTGTAGACTAAAAGTAAACAGTATAAACAGATACACATTGAAGTAAAATTTGCAATAGTTAATCCTTTAATGGTCTTAATCCATTTAAGAGGATTTCCGTTTGAAAGTCTATCAGTAGGTCCAGTGAGAATGTCAGTCTCAGGCAGGAGAGTTAGATGAGCCTGAGATGCTTTAAAAACCTGTTTTTTGAAAATTTGGTTATATTTAATGTTGAAGTTTTATTTCTTTCTTTTAGAGTATGTCTAACTATTTTTAAATGATGTTTAGTAGTATTATACAAACGGGGAGTTATGTAGAAATTAGAAGTATTTCAATTACATTGTATTTGTAATTGATGTTTCAAGTTTATTGTACAATCTTCCGTTTAAATAACAGTCTGTCTGAGATCATTTGTTTGATTTGTAAGTTGTTGGTCTGTTTGGATCTGAGAATTCCACAATTTTGAGGAATTTTTTTGTTAACTATTTACGTATTTTGTAGTTTGAACAGAGGAGTGTAAAGCAATTCCAGCAGCCGCAGCAGTAGCTGTGACTGCAAGAAGGCCCATAATGACTGTTATAAGGGTAAAAATAAATCTCTTTGTTTTGGTAAATACTTTTTTTTTAAAAAAACATATTTGTGATGATATGAATGGAAGGAGAGGCTTTCTAAGGTCTATTGAGGGAAACCGGTATCGAAACTCCTTTTTTTGTTTTTATCAGTAACACAGATGTTTTTACACTGAATGTGGAATTAATACAGGTGAAAAGGTGACAGTTTTGACAAGTCATAGTTTGCGAATTAGGTCGAATATCAATATTTTTGACCATTAACATAAAAGGAGGGTTGACACAACTCTGAATGGTCACCGTTTGGTTGGAAGAAAACTGATACACAAATTGAAGTTTTTAACCATTTTTTTTTAAAGATAATATAGTTTTTTCTAAACTTAAATATGAGATTGGGCCATTATTAACTTTCATAATTTGGAGTGTTTAGGGCCTATTATTGGATTAATTATTTTAGGATGTGGGCCGGCCGTACTAAAATTGATTCAAATTATGGGAAAATGAGCACGTTTTTCAGTGTAAGTAGTGTTATCTTTTTGATAGTATAGTTTCTGTTTTAGTTTTGTCTTGTATTTATTATTTTGATTGGTACAATTAACTGTAAAGGTCCCCTTAGGGGACCAAATAATGATAATTTCATAGGAATTATTTTGTAGTACCATAGCGTGATCAGATATGTAATTTTTAAAAATTAATATTTTAAAATTCTTTGACCATTGTTGAGGTTGTCAGCACCTCTTTTTTGGGGGCTTAAACTGTTTTAATTGAATTGCACTCTGTGAATGATCCGGGCTCCTTCCAGAAAATAAATGATAGGATACTGGTCTTTGATTATGACCTGGAATTTTAACTAGTCAATGTTGTCGGTAGCCTTTTAGGCAACCGATAGTTGGCCTTATGTAAAGAGGGGGGAACTAATAACGTATGGACACATTTATTAACATTTTTTTTCTTTGGGTGAGAGGGCCCATGAGTATTTGTAGGCTTAGGCATCCAAACACTATTATTAACATAAACCTCAACTGGGGGTTTTAACCATGTGACAGGCCTAATTAAAGGGAGGAATGAGACATATGCCCAATAGGTATAATTTTGGGCTGTTGTAGCCACAGGTTTGTTAGGTGAGGAGGTCACTGTTTTTATTTTGGCTTTGTATTCTAGGATTAGTAAATAACAGAAGACAAACATGAGTATAATTAGTAACATTTTTTTTTAGTTAAAGAGTGACCTGTAGTGTTACTTGGCATCTTAGTTTACTATATGTTATTAATGAGGAATGCCACTGGGGTATGTTAATTTATTTCAGCTAAGCAGTTCTTAGAAACTGAGAAGGGGGTGTTCGTTAAAGTAACAGGGCAGAAGAAAGGTGGATTTAAGGTATGAACTTAATAGAGTGTAGCAGGTATAGGTAGTAGGCAAAGTGAGAGAATTAAAAATGAATGAATTATTTGGCTTAGACTTTCTTTATTTTAGTATAATGTATGGGGCCTGTGTTGTTTGTGGAAGTCGTATTGTTGAGGCTGTAGTTCCTGTAGGGTCTTTTTTAGGCTGGCTCGAATTTTTTTTAATTTTAAACTTTTTTATCCTTTGATGAGGACGTAGTCTTTAGGCTGGTACTGGAAATTTTAGGGGTAGTGTCTGTGTTAAGAGACTTTTTACAATTTTTAAAGAGCAGGTTACTATTTTAAGAAAAACTTGTGTTTTTGTTAATGTTTAGTTTATAGTAAAACTGGATACCTTTCTAACTTTAGTAAACATGTTTACACCAGAATTTTTTACAATTATCATTTTAAAACTTGTTTAGACCTTTAAAATATAAATTATACAACAGTTTTTGTATAAATTTTTATAAAATTTTTTATGACTTTTACAGACAATTTTTAAATTTTTTTTTTTTTTTTTTTTTTTTTTTTTTTTGGGAGGGGGGACGGAGTCTCGCTCTGTCACCCAGGCTGGAGTGCAGTGACCCAGGCTGGAGTGCAGTGACACGATCTCGCTCACTGCAAGCTCCGCCTCCTAGGTTCATGCAATTCTCCTGCCTCAGCCTCCCAAGTAACTGGGACTACAGGTGCCTGCCACCATGCCTGGATAATTTTTGGTGTTTTTAGTAGAGACGGAGTTTCACCGTGTTAGCCAGGATGGTCTCCGTCTCCTGACCTTGTGATCCGCCTGCCTCGGCCTCCCAAAGTGCTGGGATTACAGGCGTGAGCCACTGCGCCCGGCTTGTCTTTTCATGTTTTATAATTTTTTTACTAAAGGTACATTTTTATAACTTTTTAAGATTTTTAACTTTATTTATTTTTTGATTTTTGTCTTTTTTAGTTTTTTTTTAAACTTTATTATTATTTTTTAAAATGTGTAATAATTAGATGAGTGTTGGTAACAATTGATATATGTACGTATTTTAGTTTTTAAAATTTAGGAATGTGTTTAACATCTGTTTGCCACAACTGATTAGGTTCCAATTCTTTAGTGTTAATACCTGTTGGAGGAGGGGATGTGACTGTGAGCTGGTAATCTGGGCATTGTAGGATAATTTGTTTAGCCAGCCTCTGTGTAAGTTGAAATTATTTAGATAAGTTTCTCCAATTTTGCTGAAAAATTGATGTGATTGGGTGGCTTGGTCAATCAGTGATGTCATAACCTGAAAGTCTGCTTGATTATTGCCATAAGCCAATGGGCCAGGCAGAGAAGTGTGGGCTCGAATGTGTGTAATAAAAATAGGATGTGTACCTTGGTCTACTAATTGCTGAAGTTGAAGAAAAAGAGCACACACAGTGGGCTCCAGAGCAAACTTAAGGCTGTAAAAGTTTTTAAATAAATAAACAGAATAACCTTAGTTCTCTGAATGTTAGTAAATTCAGATCAAGTGATTGGATTATGTGGTTTTCCACCAGACTGTTGCTTTTTCATGTTTACCAGACCCACCAGTAAAAACAGCTATGGCTCCTTCCAAAGGGGCATCACAAGTAATTTTTGGAAGAATCCATGTAGTTAATTTTAAGAACTGGAAAGTGTTATTTTTGTGATAATGATTATTAATACAGCCAACAAATTTTGTTAAATTGTCATGTAACTGAGTTAATAAATGCCTGTTTAACCTGATTTTTATTTATTGGAACTATAATTTTATTGGGCTCAGTGCCACAATGTTTAATAATTCATATATGAGACTGTCCAATTAGAATTGCCATCTGATTTAAGTATACTGTAAGTGCTTTTATGGTATTATGTGGCAAAAAGGACCATTTAACTAAATCATCATTTTGAACAATAACCCCCGTTGGGGAGTGTGAAGTAGGGAACACAATGAATTGTAAAGGCAAGTCTGAGACAATCCTACTGACCTGGGCTTGCTGAATTTTTTTTTCAATTACTCATAACTCTTTCACGGCCTTGGGTGTTAGTTCTCTTTTACTGTGTAAGTTGGAATCTCTTCTCAATATTGAGAAAAGATTAGACATAGCATAAGTAGGAATTTTAACAATTAAGTGGGCCAAATCCAATTAATATCTTCTAACAATTTTTGAAATTTATTTAAGGTTTTGAAAGGATCCCTTCTAATTTGAACCTTTTGAAGCTTCATAGCTCTATCCTGTACTTGTATTTTCAAATACTAAAAAGGAGTGGTTATTTGAATTTTGTCAGGTGCTGTAAGTAATTCAGCATTTGTAATTTTTTACAAAGATGAATAACATTGAATAAGTTGGTCTGTATTTTTTGCTGCACAAATCTGGAAATTGATCTCTAACAGGCTGGATAGTTCTGCCTACAAAAGTTTGACAAATTTTGGGACTGTTTAACATACCCTGGGGCAAAACTTTCCAACAATATTTGGCTGCAGGTTTTTTGTTATTAATGGCAGGGATGGTAAAGGCAAATTTTTTGAAATCTGCCTCTGCTAAAGGAATTGTTAAAAAGCAGTCTTTTAAATCTATAATAACAAGTGGCCAGTCTTTAGGGAGCATAGTAGGGGATGGGAGCCAGGGTTGTAAAGCTCCCATCGGTTCAATTACAGCGTTGACTGTTGGCAAGTCGGTCAGCATGCGCCATCTACCGGACTTTTTCTTAATTACAAATACTGGGGAATTCCAAGGAGAGAAAGTGGGTGAAATATATCCTTTTTAAAAGTAGTTTAACTATTTTATAAAGCACCCCCAACTTTTCCTTAGGAAGAGGCCACTGTTCGACCCAAACGGGCGCTGGGTCATCCATTTTAAGGGAAATTGGTCCTTCACCGTAATGAACTACAGGGCAAACCTGAATTGCCCCGTTCCATAATGAACTGTGGGGTTGGGCAATAATGGGATAGGTGAGCTGAGTCTTGGTGAGCTGAGTCTCGGGCTCCCTCCCCGTGCACTCACTTGGCTGAGGAGGAGGTGGCCATTCTGGACATTCCTTTAGAGGAACCATGGGCTGAACAATTTTTTGAGCAGGTTTAGGGAGACTGGGGAAATTGGCATAAATCACCTTCAGACTCTCCTTTTTGTTAGTACTAGGTAGAGGTGGTTCAGAGTTCTGATTATCAAACTCCTCTCTCTCCTCCTCTGACTCAGCCTAATTTTCTTTCTGAAAAGGCTACAGTGCTGCACACACCAATGACCAAACTGACTAAACAGACAAAGGAATTTCCTTTCCTTCACTATATGCTCTTTTAAGGTCCTTTCCAACTCCTTTTTAATTTTTTAATTTTGAAGTTTTCTGTTTCGCGAACCAAGGGCAAAATTGTTCCATAGCATGAAACAAATCCATAAGATTTTCTATATCAACTTTTACCCCACCACGCTTCAAGAGCTGCCGTAGCAAGCTCAAATACGTGATGTACTTACTTGCAGTTTTTTGCATTGTGTCCCTAGCTTTCTCTGGTTGTCCTGATTACCTGTAGAGGTTAAAACTTTTATGTCCTTGGGAGTCCTTTGTTCATTGGTCCTCTGTTTCACACGCTTGAGCGTTTCTTCACCGAATTCTTTTGGGCCCCACATTGGGCGCCACAATGTTGGGGACCAGCCTCAACACCATCCATAGGGTACCTGAAGTCCAGTGGTGACAAAGGAATGAGAAGAGACAGGTTAAGAGTTCATAAAGAGTAGGGGCCGGGGGCCAATTGCAAAATGGAGACTGCAAAAGGCTCAGAGCTCTGGTCTCCACACTATTTATTGAGTACAATCACTTATATCTAAGAAGAAGATGTACAGGGCAAAACAGTGAAAGGATAGCAGTGCCTCACAGGCATAATCTATGACAATAGCAGTTTAAATTAATCTCCTTTATGCTCAAACAGCATATCTTTAACTTATCGGAGAGTAGCTAGTGGCAGCGGGCCTAACTAGGAGCCTGCACATCTGTCCATATTCCAGTGCTTCAAAGGAGGGTCTTTCTCCTTGAACACAGTATTTACAGATAAGAGAGTGAGTCTCACTCTGAGCATGGCAATTAGGAGACTTTTCTCCTCAGAGGCCTCTTGTGGCTTTCTACAACTTATTCTCCCATATTCTTATGGCCAGTTTATACAGATGCCCCACAAGTCCTTTTCCTAACACAGACAGGAATATGGCGGCCTGCGCCCTGGGAGCTCACTGTCTTGTGGGAGGGAACCACTCAGGCCACTCACCACTTATCCTCCTGTCCCTCTCTTCTTGGGCTCTGTCCCCACCTCTCTCTGTCCTTTGTCTTGCAGGTGGGGAGATGGAGGAGGCAGAGCTCACATCCTGGTCTTTTGTGTCATCTCCCTTCTCCTTGGATCTTAGCAAGACCAAGCGACACCTTGTGCCTGGGGCCCCCTTCCTGCTGCAGGTTTCTTCCAGAGGGGAAGGATGAGTAGGGAGGGGGTTGTAGTTAGGAGGGCTCAGGGTCTGACAACTCTCTTTTGCCTGCCCTCCTTTACCTGCCTAGGCCTTGGTCCGTGAGATGTCAGGCTCCCCAGCTTCTGGCATTCCTGTCAAAGTTTCTGCCACGGTGTCTTCTCCTGGGTCTGTTCCTGAAGTCCAGAACATTCAACAGAACACAGATGGGAGCGGCCAAGTCAGCATTCCAATCATTATCCCTCAGACCATCTCAGAGCTGCAGCTCTCGGTAGGACTCCTCGGACCCCTGGGAGTTGGTGGGGGAAGGGGAGGAGGGTGAGCTGGGGTCCCGAGGATCCATGGCTTGATTTGGGGGGAAAGTAGGGTACCTGGCTCTGAGCTACTACCCTATTTGCACCTGCCCCTCTCTCTAGGTATCTGCAGGCTCCCCCTATCCAGCCATAGCCAGGCTCACTGTGGCAGCCCCACCTTCAGGAGGCCCCGGGTTTCTGTCTATTGAGCGGCCGGATTCTCGACCTCCTCGTGTTGGGGACACTCTGAACCTGAACTTGCGAGCCGTGGGCAGTGGGGCCACCTTTTCTCATTACTACTACATGGTGTGCATGAGCTGGGGAGTCGAGGAGGACTGGGGTGCACGGAAGAACACTCTGTGTGGGACTGGGAGGTTCAAGGCTGGGGCTGTCCCATGAAGAGGCAACCACTCTTGTCCCTCCCCTTCTTGGCCCAGATCCTATCCCGAGGGCAGATCGTGTTCATGAATCGAGAGCCCAAGAGGACCGTGACCTCGGTCTCCGTGTTTGTGGACCATCACCTGGCACCCTCCTTCTACTTTGTGGCCTTCTACTACCATGGAGACCGCCCAGTGGCCAACTCCCTGCGAGTGGATGTCCAGGCTGGGGCCTGCGAGGGCAAGGTGACTGGGATCAGGCGAGATGGCACTTGTGCTGAGGGGGTTGAGGACGGGGTGATTGCCAACAGGGCATGGATTTAGCTTGGGGGGCAGTGACGATACTGGGACTGAAGGAAGCTCTCTCTCTCTCTGACCACGCCCACCTTCGGCCCCTGCCAGCTGGAACTCAGCGTGGACGGTGCCAAGGAATACCGGAACGGGGAGTCCGTGAAGCTCCACTTAGAAACTGACTCCCCAGCCCTGGTGGCGCTGGGAGCCTTGGACACAGCTCTGTATGCTGCAGGCAGCAAGTCCCACAAGCCCCTCAACATGGGCAAGGTTTGTCCAGACCCTCTCCCCAGCCCTCCCACCCCTCCACGGCTCATCCCCCTGCTGTCCTGAGCCCTGGGCGCAGCCCCTGGATCCCACTGGGGCTCCCCACAGACTCTCCCCCACTTGGCCCTGTGGTCTCCATCTCCTCGCTCTGTATCCTTTCCTATCCCTCCATGCGCTGCCCTCTCACCTGTGCCAAGTGCTCGGTCCTGCCCCATCAGCCATGCTTGGCTCCGAGCATTCCTGCCTCTTCTTGCAGGTCTTTGAAGTTATGAACAGCTATGATCTCGGCTGTGGTCCTGGGGGTGGGGACAGTGCCCTTCAGGTGTTCCAGGCAGCGGGCCTGGCCTTTTCTGATGGAGAACAATGGACCTTCTCCAGAAAGAGTGAGAACAGAGAAGGAAGGGGAGTGGGTGGCAGGAAGATAAGGAAGGAGGAAGGGCCTGAGGGGGCCAGGTAGGAAGAGTCTGTCATTGGTTTTGGTACTGGGCAGTGGGTTGGTAAAGACAGCTGTTACTGGGGGGCGAAAGATGGCAGTCTTCATTAATGCAGTGGGGCAAAGCCATACTGGTAAATTGTTTGACTGTGATAACTGGGGAAGATTATATGCTGAATCGAGCCTTGTCACTGTTAGGAAGAAACTGAAGAAGCAGTTTACTAGTAATGTCTTGATTAGGCTATTGGGCTGCATTTGGCAAGGTAACTACAAGACATAAGCTCAGAAAAAATAATTCTGGCCAGTCTCCAAAATGTGGAGAAAAGATAATTCTTAGAAAATTTCAGGACTTGTAGGATTAAGAAATGCAACTGTGCTGGCCGTGGTGAGCTCACACGCACTGTAATTCAGCATTTTGGGAGGCCTGAGGTGGGCAGATCACACAGGCGTCCCAGGAGTTTGACGACCAGACCTGACCAACATGGTGAAAACCGTCTCTCTACTAAAAATGACCAAAATTGCTGGGCGCACTGGTGGCAGGTGGCCAGCTTACTCAGAAGCCTGGAGGCAGGAGAAATCCGCTTAAAACCTGGGAAGGCAGAGGTTGGCAGTGAGCCCGAGATCAAGCCACTGGCACCTGGCCAGCCAGGGCAAAAGAGCCAATGACTTCTGTTTTCAAAAAAAGAAAAGAAGAAGAAAAAGATAATGCCACTGTTTTGCTCGTATTCATAAGGTAAAAAGGAATAAAACATTTAAAAAAATGCTTTGAGTGATAAAGGGCTGATTACAACTCCAGCCTTGGGGGAAAGACCCAAATGGGGGGGGGGGGTGAAGTTATGTGGACTATCATACTGTTTGTGAGGAGGTCTTCAGCGTTGGATTAAGATGGTTCCAATAGGTCCCTGCCAGTTGGACAAATGTACATCAGTGGAAAAGAAGACTAAAGTAGTGGGCCTCCTTCCACGCATGAAGCCCGGTGATTAAGGGGCTAGGTGCTTCTAAATTAGGGTGCTAGAAAAAGACGGCATGGTCTTGAATTGTGGGAAAGGGGCCACAGGCACATGGACAAGGCTCAGGCCGTGGATCATCCCACGTGGGGTCAAGAGCACAAGGGGAGCCAGCAGGTGTCAATCTGTGTAGGGAAACGGCAGAGAACTCCGTCACACCCTGGGCTGGCACCCCCACCACAGCGCAGAGACAAAGCTGGGGCCGGCAAACACATGCTCAACATTTGAAAGCGGTCCACTGTTTTCCACTCTCCACCGAGCCAGTTCTCTGGAAGAAGCTGCCACGGGAATGTCCATCCTCATCAATCAGGTCTGCCTCCTGCAGGAAATCTCCCAGGGCTGGGGGGGAACCACGGTGGATGGAAGGGGAGTGAGGAAGGGGGGCCGTTTCTGCCTTCCAAGCAGCGGCCACATGTGCCCTAGCCCCACCCAGCCCCCTCACTCCGTGTGGAGGCCCACTGGCCTCCTGGTCCTGTTCTTCGTTGCGCAGACCTCTCAGCAATTGGCAGCAGGGACAGGACAGGGCTCCAGGCCAAGTCCGGCTGCTGCACGTCGGGCTTGGACCTTCTGCTACACGGAATGCCTCATGGGCAGACGGTGTCACCCCATCCTGGCAGCAGCGCTTGGCTGTTGGGCGAAAGCATACTGACCCACCTGAAGGGGCCAGGTGGGTGTCAGCACGAGACAAGGGAACAAAAAGAAATAACCTCAGCCCGCCGCCCAGACCCCATTGAGGAACCAGTAAAACATAAGAGAGGCTGGTGGAGAAGAGCCTGCCACCCTTCCCACTTGTAATCCCGCCGGATTTCGGATCTCTGGCCCAAATACCACACATTGGGTTCAGCATGGGAGGTGAGGGGCAGGAGGCAGACCCCCAACTGATTTCCCACGTGGAGAGCCCAAGCTGCTGCCTAGGCACCCACAACTCACATTTCTCATTAATGCGCCCCTTTTGGAAGTTTAACGTTTCTCTTTCTTTCCCGGGTTGTCTTCTCCTGGGACAGCCCAGTCCTGGTAGAGAGCGAAGGCTGCAGTCCAGCCGTCAGGCGACACTCCGGCCTCCTCCCCTCCAGCGCCTTCCCTGCCAGCTTCTGCCCC